ACGGATAATATACTTGTGGCGGCGGAGGTGGGCCACTTTTTGAATCGAAAGCAATGTGGAGTAGCAGGATGGGGAGCACTAAAACTGGATATGGCTAAAGCTTATGATAGAATGGAGTGGCCATTCTTGGAAAAAATGCTGGAGGTAATGGGTTTTGATGAACGGTGGATTAGACTGATAATGACATGTGTTACCACTGTATCATACAGTGTTATGGTGAATGGCGTGAGTGGAGGCCATGTGCAACCAACAAGGGGTCTCAGACAGGGAGATCCACTTTCACCTTTTCTATTCATTATTTGTGCTGAAGGTCTATCCATGCTCTTACAGAAAGCGCAGGCAGTGGGGTCTATTCACGGGTGTAGGGTGGCGAGGGGGGCTCCCCCAATATCACATCTTTTCTTTGCTGATGATAGCTTATTGTTCTTTAAAGCAAATGTCCAGGAAGCTATAGTGGTCAAGCAGTGTTTGGAAAGATATGGGGAGTTATCTGGTCAGTTGGTGAACTATCATAAATCTAATATATGTTATAGTAGGAATACTGGAGAACAGATGAGGGAGGAAGTAGCAGACTGTCTGGGCGTGGAACAAGCACGGAATTTTGGAAAATATCTGGGGCTGCCCTCGTTTATAGGGAGAAATAAAAGGGCCGTTTTCTCTTATGTGGAGGATAAAATCAGACAAAGAGTTTTCTCGTGGAACAAGAAATTGCTATCACAGGCTGGTAAAGAAGTGCTTTTGAAAAGTGTGGCTCAGTCTATGCCCACTTTCTCAATGAGTGTTTTTTTGCTCCCTGAATCAGTTTGCGAGTCAATTCAAAGGGCCATGAATAGGTATTGGTGGGGGAAAGGACAAGAAAGAGGAATCCACTGGAAAGCATGGGATAAATTGTGTATCCCTAAAAAGTTTGGTGGACTGGGGTTTAAAGATCTGAGGAACTTTAATCTTGCGATGTTGGGTAAACAGGCGTGGCGATTTTTAACTAACCCGGAGTCTCTAGCAGCAAGAATATATAAAGCAAGATACTACCCGAAGACTTCTTTTGTTGATGCAACGGTGGGAAATAATCCCAGTTTTTGTTGGCGGAGTATTATGGCTGCTCATGATTTTGTTGTTGCCCATGTACGAAGGAGAATTGGAAATGGCCAGGAAACTTTAATATGGGGACATCCGTGGTTGCAGGATAATCCTAGTCCACTGGTTCAAACAGTAATGCCAGAACCATTAAGGGATGCAGTTGTAGCAGGTTTAATAGATCAGCAAACAAAAACATGGGACCCCCATATTTTATCAGATCTATTTGAACCTGAGGATGTGGATCGTATTTCAAAAATACCTGTGAGCCCAGATTATAGAGACACATGGTACTGGCATAATGACCCGAATGGTTGCTACACGGTAAAGGATGCTTATAGGCGCCTAATGGGAGAATTTAATCACACTTTGGGAGATTTTGATAGATGGATTACATTGTGGAAGTTGAAAGTCCCACCCAAATGGAAAACTTTTTTATGGAGAGCGGTGTGTAATATACTCCCAACCACAACAAATTTGATTACAAAGAGGGTAGATGTGAACCCAACATGTATGTTGTGTGGTCTTGCTAATGAGAATGTTATGCACTCATTAGTTTTATGTGATTATTCTAGAACTGTATGGAATATTTCGGGGCTGCCTATTATGAATATTTTTTCAACGTCTTTCCCGAGCTGGCTTTTGACTGTTATGGATATGCTCACAGGCGAACAAGTCAGACGCGTTGTGGGGGTCCTCTATTTTTTATGGATGACCAGAAACGAGGCGGTCTGGGAACATGCGGTAAGGAGGCCGGAGGTGGTGTGGCGTCGTGCAGCTGCGGGAGAGGCGACCTACACGGCAGTCCACGCCCGCCCAGTGGCGACACCAGCCGAAGAAGTGCAGGCAGTGGCGGCCGGACGGGCGACGTGCCACGTCGATGCCGGCTACGATTCGAACACCGGCAATGCAACCTATGGGGCGGTTCTACTCGGTCCGGATGGAGTGTTCAAAGCAGCGGCAAATGGAAAGCTCCCGGGGTGTTTTACTCCTCTTATGGCGGAAGCGCTAGCATGCAAGGAAGCCTTGTCCTGGCTTAAAGACCGAAACGAGAGCGAGGTGGATATTCTTACAGATTATCTTGTCTTAAGGAATGCGGTTCATGCAGTTACTACACCGAACTTATCCTATGTTGGAATTGTGATTGAGCAATGTAGGACAGCTATTGGTAGTTTCATTTATTGTTCGCTTAGTTATGTTCCTAGAGCTTTAAATTTACATGCGCATACTCTTGCTAGTTTAGCCAATGATCAGGATCATTCTATGTACTGGGATTTAATCCCTCCTGACTCTATCACTCAATTTCTGAATTAATATACTGGTACGCCATATTTCAAAAAAAATGTTCTAATTCATCACAAATTAAAATTTTGAGATCCTGTGGATTACTAACTCTTGAAAGAGCAACATACTTTTTTTTGAATGCTACTAGCTCTATTACATTGTAGTATCTGTTCATATACTTTCTCAACCTACTGAAACAATAACGCCTCCACTGAGGCTTAAACTCACAACGTTCCTAATGGAAGTCCAACCCGGGTACCATTGGACCACATAGTCCTGGTTTGAAAGAGCAACATACAATTGACCATGTATAGTATAAACTAGTTTTTTTACGGATAATGCCCAATAATTATTTTTAAATAAGTATTTCAAAGTATATCAATGCAATATTATATAGAAGATGTTCATGTATATGTAAATAAATGTTGAATTTGTTTATTTAAATCGGTAATTTAAAGTATATAAATGCATGCAAGATAATATACAAGAGATCGATTATAATTGTCAATAAAATAAATGTTTGCAACTTTGTAATAACGCTAGTCTAAATACTTAGTCTAGAAGCGATAGTCTAAATAAATACTACTTATTTTAATTCTCTTTTGGATATCATTATCATTATCTTCATCTTCAGTACATGTCCTCTTTTCTGTTTTTTTATTATTGGTAGTGTGTCATGTGCAATTGGGTTACTGATGGTGCAAGGTGGACACAGTTCTATGTTCATAATTACTGAACTATATGTTCATAATTATAAAGTTATATGTTCATAATAATTGAATTCTATATTCACAATTACAAAACTCTATGTTCATAATTACTGAATTATATGTTCATAATTATAAAGCTATATATTCATAATTTTTGAACTTCATATTCACAATTATTGAATCTCTATATCATAATTACAGAACTATATGTTCATAATTATGTTCACAACTCTATGTTCATAATTTTTGAACTATATATTCATAATTATGAATAGCTTTGAAACCGTGTCCACCTTGCAAGGTGAACACGGTTTCACATCATAATTTGCCTAGCATAGAGGGATACATCGTGCAATGAGATTATAGTTTAGGAAGCTTTAGATTTGCCTTGCTGTGTGTATAACTGTGATCTTATTAGTTGTATTATGAACTCTTTATCTTACAAACACATATTGATATTTGGTAATGGTAGTTTTTCCCCCACATGTTTCATGTGTTGTGAGATGTGTATCGTAGGTTATCATGTGAAAGTATTGAACAAAACATTAATATTTATTATATTTGTAAAAAATACTTGGTAAATAAATAAATAAATAAATAAATATATATATATATATATATATATATATATATATATATATATATATATATATATATAACATATTTTATATTATAACTTTGATATTTAATTACAAGATAATGTAAAAAGAAGACAATGGCCAATGTAGTGAATATAATAAATTAATAAATTTGAAGGTAAGGAATCTTTGAATTGTAGAAAACAAAGATAATATAACTAATGAAATTATATCTCTTTTTAAATTTTTTATAATGAATATTTAAAAAAAAATAAAAATAAAGGCATTATAGACATCTAATTCTAAATTTTTATTTTTTTTTGAAAGTTACTGGTCCTATTACATTGTAGTATCTGTTCATATACTTTCTCAACCGGCTGAAACACAAAGAACCAATAACACCTCCACTGAGGCTCGAACTCATAATCTTCCAAATGGAAGTTCAACCCGGGTACCATTAGACCACATAGTCCTGGTCATCTAATTCTAAATTAATTAAATGCATATGTATTATTTTTTGTTGTAGCTACTAATTTATTTAATTTAATAAGAGTAATAAAGTGGCGTACATACTTTTCATCAACAATAATGAAATCATTGATTTTTTTAATTTTCATTCATTGTTCAGACAAATTGTTTTGAGAGTTTGTCAATGACAATTGCTACAATTGTTGTCAATTGCTAATAAATAATTCAAAATATATGGTTACAATATATATTGTTATAATGATATAGTAAAAATTAAATTAACTTACAAATTTCTTTAGAAGTTTTCACGCATTGATAATATTCTGATGTGTAAACTTATTCAATTGGGGCCACTGGGATGTCAACATTGTCAATTCTTTGAAAAATGGTCGTACCGTTTTAGAGTCCAGGTGTAATGTATTTATGATCAACAACTTTGTAGTTAGGTCGCGCAGGGTTGACAATGATGTAAGAACAATTTTGTCCGATAAAAAAATAATAGTATAATATTTGTAAAGTAATGTACAATTGTACCATTATAAAAATACATACAAAAAATATTGATACCATAATGACCTAAATCATTCTAATAATGCAAAAGCATAATTGAAATATTAAGTTTTGTTCTAAATAATCAAAAGAAAATTAGTTAAACGAAAAAAAAAAAAAAAAAAAAAAAAAAAAAACTTAACTTAAAATTTTTTTTTAATGCAAAAAAATCAAATGATTTTTAAAGTTCCTGATTTATAATTTTTGATGCTCAACTTTGAATGCTGTGTATTTAGTCAGGTTAATTATTTGACCAAAGTTTATGTTAAATTTTATATTATATATATTTTAAAAACGTTTTAACATTTTTTTGAAAACCAGGTAAACTCAGATTGCATTAGCCAAAATCGGCTCCAAAAAAAGACGGAGGACCACCCCTCCATACAGAACTAACAGCAGGCGCATTTTCATGCTTAGCTAACATATGAGCCGCTTTATTAGCATCTCTTCTAACATACGAAACTACAGTACCAGGCATAGAAGAAATTAAACGAATACATGAGTCTAAAATAAAACCAAAATAAGAACGAAAAGAACGTGCATTACTAAGGCTTGAAACCAGAACCGCGTTATCCGTGAATAGCCTGACTGCCGTGTAACCGTTATTCTTAAGCCAAGAAAGTGCCTCAGTCACCGCCATCGCCTCTGCCATTAGGGGATCATACGGGCATACCATAGGACCATTCGCCGCTGCTACGTAACTCCCATCCTCCTCCAACACCATAAAGCCGTAAGTGGCATGCTGCTGATTATTATGAAAAGCCGCATCCACAAAGCAAGCCAAACCATGCTGCCTTTGATTTGCATGCAACACAGAAAGGCGCTGCACCTGAGAGTCCCTTGGACCGGCACCATAAGCCTTCCATGCTGCCCAGCTAGAAGTGAGCCGGCAACACAAAACCGCAGGGGTTGGCAGTAATCCATTCCATACAGCCGAATTCCTGGCTGACCAAATACCATGCAACAAGCCACAAATCCTCCCTTTATCATCACAATCCAGCGCCGATGCTCCACCCAACCACAACTCTGCCCAAAACAGAAAATTGTTACCATTAAACTGGGGTATTGGCAACTGGGAACAATTCCAAACAAGAGAGGCATATGAACATGAACAAAGAACATGCATGACATTTTCCTCTACTAAACCACAAGCCGGGCATACATTAACTAGATCCACCCTCTTTTTAATCAAATTATCAAGAGTTGGTAAAATGTTAGAAAAAGCTCTCCACATAAAATTCTTCCACTTAGGTGGGATTTTCAATCTCCATATACTACTCCAAACCGGCGAACTAGGTGCAAAAGCATCCCCTAGCCGTCTATAGCCACTTTTTACCGAATAATTCCCCGTAATATCCCCTTCCCAGTACCACAGGTCGTCATACATGCCATTCAAAGGCAATTTGTTAATCAAGGCGGCATCCCGTGCATTAAAAATCTGCTGGATCAAGTTATTATTCCATGCGCCCGTTGTATCATCCACCAAATCAGCAACAATCAAACCCTGATTGGTAGCCGGTTGCGCAGTAGACACATAAGGATCGTGAGAATCCGACAACCACGGGTGTGCCCAAACCTGAGTAGTCCGCCCATTGCCAATCCTCCGTCTGCACCCCGATTTAACAAGTCCCTGACTTGCCATTATACTTCTCCAAACATAACTCGGATTTCCCCCTATTGCTGCATCATAAAAGGTAGAAGTAGGATAGTACCTTGCTTTTAAAACACGAGCCATAAGCGTATTAGGATTCGTGAGGAGGCGCCAACCCTGCTTGGCAAGTAACGCCAAGTTGAACTCATGCAACCATTTAAAGCCCAGACCACCAAACTTCTTAGGCGTACACATTCTGTCCCAAGCTAACCAATGAATGCTATCCTCCCTATCACTCCGCCCCCACCAGTATATGTTCATTAATCTCTCAAGAGAAGCACACAACGTTATGGGGATTAAAAAGATGCTCATAGTGTAAGTAGGCATAGCCTGCGCCACACTCTTTAGAAGAACCTCCTTACCAGCTCTGGACAGGAGCCGCTTGTTCCACGTCCCAAACCTCTGTTTCAACTTTTGCTCAATATAAGCAAAAACCAACTTCTTATTTCTGCCAACCACAGAAGGGAGTCCCAGATACTTACCAAAATCATCAGCCTGAGAAACCCCCAAGGCCCCAGCTACGAGATCCTTCAATTCATCCAAAGTATTGCGGTTGAAAGAAATACTCGACTTATTAAAATTGACCGCCTGTCCAGAATAGGCCTCATATACTCCAAGGCACCTCTTTACCTCCATTGCTTCCTGCAGATTTGCCTTAAAGAAGAGAAGACTATCATCTGCAAAAAACAAATGTGAGATAGCCGGAGCCCCCCTGGCCACCCTACAACCGTGAATTAACCCCTTGGCCTGAGAATCTTGCAGCAATAAAGATAACCCTTCTGCGCAGATAATAAAAAGGTAAGGAGACAAGAGATCACCTTGCCTAAGACCCCTCGTGGGGACAATCTCCTCAGAGGGCCTACCATTGATCAGAACCTTATACCGCACAGAACGGACACACAACATAACAAGCTGCACCCACCTATCACCAAACCCCAACCTCCTCAACATCTGTTCCACAAAAGGTCATTCCATTCTGTCGTACGCCTTGGCCATATCCAGCTTTAGAGCTGCCCAGCCAACCTGGCCCAATTGCTTCCTCCTTAGATAGTGTCCCACCTCCGGAGCTATCATAATATTATCTGATATTAATCTGCCCGGAAGGAAGGCACTCTGAGACTCAGAAATTATCCCCTCCAAAAGAGGCTTCATGCGGTTAGCAACCATTTTAGCCATGACTTTATAAAGCACATTACACAGTGCAATTGGTCTCAGGTCAGAGACAGACACAGGAGCAGACCTCTTAGGGATCAATACAATATTCGCATCATTTAAATTAGGGAGAAAATAAGATTGGGAAAGAAAATCAAGCACAAAGTCTGTGACATCCTTACCTAACACACTCCAGAATGACTGATAGAAGCCCGGATTCATTCCATCCGGCCCCGGAGACTTGTCTTTCCCCATAGCAAACAAAGCGTGGCGCACCTCCTCAGGTTGAAACTGGCGCAGGAGCTCTTCATTCTGATATGCTGTAACTCGTGGCTGCAAGGTATCCACACTGAAAGAGCCCGGGGACCCCTGTGATGTAAAAATCTGTTTATAGTATGCAACAACCAGCGCATCCAGCTCCCTACCCTCCTTCCATGCACCCCCATCATCCTGCAGTTTCAAAATCATATTCTTCTTCCTACGATGCCCGACATATTTATGGAAGAACTTAGTGTTTCTATCAGCCCCCTGCAGCCAATGTTGCTTGGCACGTTGTCTCTAGAAAGCCTCCTCCTGAGAAAGAATATTATTCAAGGTGGCGTCAAGATGCCTGAAACGAGCAAGTGAACCAGGGTCAAAACAGCCCCGTAAAGCATTTATCTCCCTCCTGATCCCCTCCAATCGCCTTCCAAACTTATGAAAGCTCTCACCACCCCACTTTTTCAAGCCCCGGCCGCACAAACCCAGTCTCGCTTGCAAACTCAACCCCGCGGAAGAAGACCACTCCCTCTCCACCACCTCCCTACACCCTTCATCCAGCAACCAAGCATTCTCAAATCTGAAACCCCGGGCCTGAAAAACCGGGGCCTCACCATAGATATCCAGGAAGAGAGCCGTATGATCAGACTCGTCCGTTCGAATGTTAAACACCCGAGCCCTTTCATAAACCTCCCGCCAACGCATGCATGTTACCACCCTATCCAACCGCTCCTCCACCCAATCTACTGTCCCCTTCCCACGCTCCCATGTGTAGGGATAACCATTCATGGGTAGCGTAATCAAACCACAATCATCCAACGCATCCCCAAACCCCTCCAACAGCCCATTCGGATGAGGCAATCTTCCCCGCTTCTCAATTTGCATTAATAAGTCGTTAAAATCTCCTAAGACCACCCACGAGAGGTCCGAAGTAGCCTTAAACGATCTCAACAAATCCCACGCAGCCCTTCTCCTTGTCCTTTCCGGATAGCCATAATAACACGTCAACCTCCACGGATCCCTACCTGACAGAGACACCAGGAGATCTATATGATGATGAGAATAATTAATCAACCTGGCACTGTTGTTACGCAGCCACAAAAAGCAAAGGTCACCCCTCGTTCCTACACTATCAACTTTGAAACATCCCTCAAAACCCAACTTCACCCTTAACCTCTGCGCATGATCCCCTCCCACCTTCGTCTCCATTAAGAACACAAACTCGGGCTTCTTCCTGGACACAATGTCCACCACCTCACGAACTGTCCGTGGATTGCCCAAGCCACGGCAGTTCCAAAATAAGGTACTCATTGAGAGTAGCGGGCCTGATCCTCAGGCCTCGCCAAACACAAAGTTACAGAGTCAACATTCATTCCCCCCCCCCGCCCTCCCTCTCCAGCCATCACTCCGTCCTCCCCCTCCACCCTACGCCTCTTCGGATCTACCCGTACCCCCACCTCCTCCATCCCACCACCCGAAGACCCACCCCCAACACCCGGATCCTCCACCACCATTCCACCCGCCCCCAACCCAGACTGCCCCGGAACAGTAGCCTCGCCGACAGTGTCCCCAAACCCAATTGCACGCCTCCTCTCCTGCCCCATCTGAAACCATATATCTCCCAGAGCCTTAGCCGGACTAGAGCCCCCAGCCCGTAACCCTGGACCAAACAGAAACTGCTCAGGCCACAAACCCAATCTTCTAGCCTCCAAACAAAACTTGTCGGTATGGCCCATTCTACCGCAGAAAAAAACAAAACATATGGAGACGCTCATACTTAGAGTTTATCCATGTCCAAGAACCATCTCACAGCACCATCTTCATCCGCCGTTTGATAGGGCTAGTAACATCGTGAGTGATCCTTATTCTATAGTATGAAACCCATGGCCTTGTGAAATTACGCTCATCTACACGTAGGAACACCCCTGCAAAATCACCGATCTTCTCCAAGACCTTCACTGTGCGGTAACCCGGCGGCAAGTCAAAAACCTGCAACCAAATGTCCACTGTGCTGAGCACCACCTACGTTGGGTCTTCACCAATACTCAAAGGCTGGCATAAGAAAGTCGCATTCTCGAAAGCCCAGGGACCGTCCATCAAAACACGCTGCATATCTGCCTCATCAAAAAAAAGTGAATAGATAGAGATTAGGTTGCACATCAGTGACTTCAATACCCATCAAAGGACGCTAAGCCGACGCCATAACCCGTTTCATCATCTCCTGCTTTAGCATCCGATCGGTCAAGAACCGTCCTACTAAAGACCAAGTCCGCCATACCGGTGCGGAAACGGCAGCATCTACCACGACGTCGTCAAACCTGACCCTCAACTTCTCGTCCTCCAACGTAATACCCGCGGTGCTCATAATCAACCCCTGAACATCCATCGTAATCGTGTCCAAAGTCGTCACACCCGTTCATGCAGCAGAAAAGATCACGTAGAACAAACCCTAGATTGCAGGGAGATACGTAAGAAACCCTAGAGAGAACAGGGAGTAAATTTGTTAGTTGTACTGTTTTATTTTAATCATAAAAAAAAACGTTTTAACATATTCGTAGTATATGTTTAACAATTATGCCAACTCTAATTGGGACGTGGTTCGAACCTAAGACCTTTTTATAGAAAGTAATGAGTAAGTTAGGAATAATAAATAGTTAACGAAATATTCTGTTACTAAAGTTTATACTAACGGAATTTAGGGTTATTTAAGGGAAGAAAATAATATAATAGAGGGTAAATAAGGAAAATCATTAAATAATACTAAAATCAAAATAATATGAACCATTCATTTTAAGAAACAATTATACCGACATTTTTTTGTTCCGGTTAAGGGCCTAACCTTATTGGCGCTTATTAGATTTGTAGATACTGGTTTCTTATGTAACAACCAATCAACCATACATGAGAAAGTGGTTGTCCTTGACTTTTATTTATGGTCATTGCATACGAGAGCGTTAGCAAGAATTGTCTTCTATTGAACTTGAATGACAATCTTGGATCTGAAGGAGTCATACTCAATTTAGGAATCAAAACCCTAGTAGCGGCATGGTTACCAAGCATTATTTTGGCCTATATGACATGTTTTGACAATCTGGTTACTACCAACCTAGTACAATTGCATAAACCAAGTGTGTGATCTATATTCCCCAATAACATCACAGGTGATCCAACCTTTAATGTCAATGAATGATTAGGAATGTCAGATGCTCGCAGTCCATTTAGGAACTCATGTATTCATTAATTGAATTAACAACATCCAGAGTAGGTGTCAAAATTGCACAATTTTGTAGAGAAGTGTTGTCACAATCTCCATTATTAAACATTGGAAATATACTGTCCACAATTGTGGCAATTGGGTCAAGGGCAGCAACAAATCTTTAGGAATATCAACTTCTGGACAATCATCATTTGAACCTCCAATTGTACCATCACCAATTGAGGCAATCCAATTCACAAATTGTTCAACTTGTTGCATTTCAATCCCAGGTTCTATGTTACTCAATTGGAGATTCTTTGTCAATCTTAAAACTCTACACTTCAAAGATAAGAAGAGTTTTATAGTTGTTGAAACGATGTCCGGCCTTATACCTTTTGGAATCACACGCAATATCTGTCTAAAATCTCCACCTAAAATCACTATTTTACCACCAAATGTATCAGTTGCACTTGAAGGATTGGAAAATCTTAATAAATCTCGCTTGTCTTCAAAATTAACTCAACAAGGTTGCTACCTGGTTTAATATTACAATTTTACATGTCGAGTCTTCATTAAGAGAAATTGGTATCACTAACCTTGAGTGTGCAATTGTAGGGAAGCTACATTGATAACAATATCACATTTATTCTTCCACTTGGTAGAAGTAGGGAAGCTATACCACTCGATGCAACATTGATAACAATATCACATTTTCACCGCAATGTTGCATATAAATCTCTCCAATTATTGTATCATATGCTCTGAGGCTCGAACCCATAATCTCTCATTTAGAAGAGTTGCTTAATGGCGCTTGACCACTTTTAGCGTTTAGGTATGCTCTATATTTTAGAAACAAATACTTATTATGTGGTACCACAAATCTATTATCTAAGTGAAAATTCCATTTCTGTTTATTATCAAGCCATCATCACGACACCTATATACTAGATAACCATCTTTATCAAAACTGGAAGAATCTACAAACTTTTTAGGAAAGTACTTTAAGCATCCCCTGTTTACCATGTAAAGGAGACTGCTTTCTAGGAAGAATTGATACAACAGTCTTAAACAAGACTCCGAATGGGTCTCTTAATTGCATTTTTTTTTTGGGATAAGGGTCAAATAGACCATTGAACTATTGATAAAAGTGCAATTAGTCCCCTTAACTACAAAAAGCTTCAATTAGGCACTTGAACTTGAAGAAAAAAAAAAAAAATCAATTAAACCATTTTATAGGTTACCATTAGGTAATGAGTTAAAAATAACTAATTTGGCATCCACATGTATCCTAAATGTTGACGTGTAATATATTTAAATAATTAAATATATTTTTTAATTATTGGCT